CCCTTAGCAGCTTCCAACGAGAGCACCCAGAGAGGCTTACAGGGAAGGGTCGACGCATTGAGCTCCTCGGGCCAAGCTTGGAGGTCCTGAGGGCGACGCTGTCCAGAGAATGGGGGGGAAAAAGACATTGAAGGAGTCGCGGGAAACGGAAGGTGCAGCCGCGGCAGGTTCCCCTCGGCCACACTCACGTCCCCACTCACATTCCACGGTAAACGGCGCCATCGGCGCCTGGGGAGGAGCAGGGCGGAAGGTGGGCCCAACAAACCGAAACGCGGGGATCAACGCCTTCTCCTCGTACGCTCCATTCTGGCAGAACTCCTTTCTAAGCTTCGCATCTTCAGCATTATCGGCCAAAACCTGCTCCTCACGCTTTGGGGGCGTCACAGCTGCTATCGCGGCCATGCATTTGCGGCTTCGGTGTCTCAAGTGACAAGCGAGTCTCAGATGAATGTGGACCTCCACACCATAGGCATTGCAACGCGACCTGTGTGCGAACAGAGTAGGCTGATCCAGGGATGGATGCTTCTTGGAAACGGGTACCTTCCAGAGCCCCGGGGTCCTAAAGGCAGCCTGGCACTCGTAACAGACATACGCGGCGAGGGCGGCAGGGGGGGGCGGGACAGAAGGGGGCCGGGCAAGCCCCCCCTCTGTAGCAATCCTGGCCAGCTCCCTCCTCCACTCCTTGAGGTGGCACTGGTCCCAGTGCCAGCATCTCCTAGCAATCCAACCTGGACATCCAAGAGCCAGAGTAGCTGGTATGGGGCATGAGCCAGCACCCGCTGCAGGCAGCAAAGCCGCCGATACCAAAGGATGGCCTCTGAGGGGGCGGCCTCGGCGCTGAGCAGGACGGCCTCCTCCTCCTCCTCCTCCTCCTCCTCCTCCTCCTCCGAACTCCTCCTCCTCCGACTCCTCCCCTCTCCTCCTCCTACCTGCTCCTCCCCCTTCTCCTCCTCCTCCTCCCTCCCTCCTCTCCTCCTCTTCCTCCTCCTCCTTCTCCTCCTCCTCCTCCGCCTCCTCCTCCCCCTCTCCTTCCTCCTCCTCTCTCCTCCTCCTCCTCCTCCTCCTCCTGCTCCTCCTCCTCCTCCTCTAGGTGTACGGCGGGCTCGTGTCGCGACGCCGCTGGCGTGGGTTTTTGACACTGTGCCCAAGAGTCACACGTCAGCCTCACGCGGCCGTCCTGCCGGGGGGGACGGGGGAAGCGCTAAGTGCACGGCGGGCTAATGCGGTGAGGCCCCTTGCGTTTGTTTCTAACCCGTGCGCAAGGGTCGCGCGTCAACCTCACGCGGCCGCCCTGCGTGTGGGAGGGAGCGAGAAGTGTAAGGCAGGTGCGTGTCGCCATGACCCGATGATGGTTTCTGACACCGCGTGGATCGTTCAACCCTACACGGTCGACGGCTTCGCGATCGCCAGATCGCTCCATGTTGGCCGATTCTGGGCCACTGGCGGCATTCAACATTGACCGCGGGCGGCAGGTTGCCGCCGCGTCGACACGGCGCAAGCCCGCCGTAAGTGGCCCGAGGCGCGCCCGGTCCATCCGAAAAGAGGCTGGTGCGAGAGCCTTGCAAGGGGAAGGGCCCTGCCACGATCGAGCAGCGGAGCGAGGCAAGAGAGGCCCCACCGAAGAACGGACGCCGCGCGGGCAGCGCGAGGGGCCGAGGCGAGGCAAGCGGAGGGCCCAAGAGCGTCGTGAAGGGGAAAGCCCCAGGGAGGCACCCAGCGTGCCGCCGAGGGGCGAAGAGCGCGAGAGAGGAGGGCGGCGAAGGGAAAACAACCCTCCCAATCCCCCCAGAGTCAAAGCCGGCTTCGGGGGCGAGAGCGATAAGCGAGGAGTGAGGAAGAGGAAAGCGAACGAACGAACGAACGAACGACGCTGCAGAGGCGCGTCGGAAGGGCCCGGCCCTCACCCCACGCACCTCCGACGCTGGATGTTGCAGAAACTGTCGTAGGAGTTGTAGTAGGAGCTGTAGCGAATGAGCGGCACTATTTGCTGCAATAGAAACGGTAGGGTGAGCTGTAGTTGGATACTAAGCAGGAGCCGTAGTAAGAGATGTGGTTAGACCTGCAATGCGAGTAGTAGGCTCTGCCGTAGGAGCTGCAATAGGAGCTGTAGTGAGAGCTGCACAACTAGCTGCAGCATGGACATCTGCTGGACCCGCCAGCCACGCAGAATCCGCCATAACACACCGCGTCAACTGTGCACTCCATCGGCTGTTTCGCCCACGATGGGTCCTCAAGAGTCTTCCAGCGGGACCTGGTCGGCATCAAGTCGGTCCAAGATGGCCAAAATTTCCTCGAAGTAGCCTAAAGATGCCTCAACGAAGGCGCAGTATTACCCCAAAGCCTAAAGGTGGCTTCAAGACTGGCCAAGAGTCCCCGAAGACGGCACAAGAAGACTCCAAGGTCCCCCAGAATGGCGTCGAGGAGAAGAAATCAGGGATGCTCGATGATTGTTTAAATGATGTTCGGACTCCCGTCTTTTCAGTCTTGAGAGCGTCCAGGGCGGCCCACGAGGACCCCAAGAGCACCCCAAGACGGTCCAATTACTCCGACGGTAGGACCCCAGATGAGAATCCTTTCGGCTAATCTGGAAATACTCCTCATCGTCGTCCTCGTGATTGGTAAAGCGTTCTTGCTGCCTCCTCTGCGTCATTTTCCTTCTCACCCTGGCGCAGGCCCTCCCCCCGCTCCCTACATTGCCCCCTCCTCGCCCTCCTGTTTTTTTGTCACCCCTGCCCCCGACTCGGCCGAGGATGAGTTACCACCCCCGGCCCAGACACAAGGGTCTTCCCCCTGCGCCCGATTCGGCCGCCAGCGGGTTACCACCGGCGGCCCGGAGACAAGGGGTCACCCCGCCCCCGATTCGGCCGAGGATGGGTTACCACCCCCAGCCCGGACACAAGAGGTTACCCCTGCGCCTGGCCGCCGTCTCGTCGTCGTCGTCGCCGTCGTCGTCAGCTCCTCAGTCGCCCTTGTGTCCTGCGCTACTGCGGAACCGCGGGAATTCCCTATTTCGGGCACATTGGCCCATCATAGTAACAAGTTTGCCGACGACCAGCTCGACATACAACGCTCGGATTGCCAACGTTCGACTGATACTTCCGCCATATTCAGGCCTCTGGAGCCCAAAAATGACGACAGGTACAGGTTTCCGATGACCCGCTCGGATTAGTCACATGATCTGCGGGCCCCATAGGGAGGGGGCTCCCGCCTGAGACTTCCTCGCAATTCACTCACAGACGAGGCTCCCACCTTAGACTTCCTCAAGATGAATGTATGAGTGCGTGAGTGTGTAAGTGTGTTTGTGTGTGAGTGTGAAAGACTGTGGGAGTGATGTCGATGATCATGATAATCATGATGATGATGATGATGATGATGATGATGATGATGATGATGATGATGTTGGTGATGATGATGATGATCGTGATGATGATGATGATGATGATAAGGCGAGCGAGTGAGTGAGTGAGTGAGTATATGCATGATGGTGAATATGATCACGATAATGATGATGATGATGATGATGATGATGATGATGATGATGATGATGATGATGATGGTGATGGTGATGATGATGATTATGATGATGATGATGATGATGATGATGATGATGATGATGATGATGATGATGATGATGAGTGTGTGAGTGTGTGAGTGTGAGAGTGTGTGTGCGTGACGAAGAGAGGGGGGTATGATGATGACGACGGCGCCGACGACGACGACGGCGATGATGATGATGATGGTGATGGTGCTGGTGATGATGATGATGACGATGACGAGGATGATGATGATGATGATGTTGGTGAGGGTGATGATGATGATGGCGATAATGATGAACATGATAATGATGATGGTGATGGTAAACCTGATGATGATGCTGATGATGATAGTGATGATGGTGATGATGATGGTGATGATGGTGAGTATGATGATGATGATGAGTATGATGATGATTGTGGTGGTCATGATGATGATGGTGATGATGATGAGTATGATGATTATGATGATGATTATGATGATGATGACGATGATGACGACGATGATGATGATGATGATAGTGATGATGATGATGATGATGATGATGATGGTGATGATGATGATGATGATGATGATGATGATGATGATGATGATGTGGGTGGGTTCATATTACTGTTCATGCGCGGGGCGCCCAGAGAAAACATGAAGCCCACTTGGGATGTTGGAAACAGACCCCCAAGACTCCCCCAACGCGGCCCAAGAAGACTCCATGAGGTCCCCAGAAGGGCGTCGAGAGGCAGAAATCTGGGATGCTCAATGAAAGTTGAAACGATGTTCTGACTACCGTCCTTTCGGTCTCAAGAGCGTCCAGGGCGGCCCAAGAAGCTCCGATGATTACCCCTAAGACGGCCCAAATGGACCCCAAGACGGCCCGAAGACCGCCCAAGAAGGCCCCAAGACGCCCCAACAGGAACCCCAGTCAGCCTCAAAACGGCCCTATAGGGCCCCAAGAGAATGTCAAAACAGCCTAGAGAGGCCCCCGAAACTGCCTCCGAAGGCGCCTGACGGCCCAGGAGCGCCCCAAGACCCCAGAGAGCCCCAAGATGGCACAAGAGGGTCCCAGGGTGCCCTCAAGAAGACCCAAGAGGCCCGACCCCAGGATAGCCCCAAGACGGCTCCAGAAGGCCCCTCCCCAATGTTCCCTCAGCCGTTTCCCCGGCACGTGGGTGAACACGCACTCCACAAGCGTGGCCCGAATTTCGCTCGACGTTTCGCGCCACAGAGGTTTCCAAATAGCAGGGGCGGCGGTGACTCGCCGCAGGCGGCTTCGATACAGTAGGAGCTCGACCACAGGAAACTTTCCACAAGAAACCCAACCCTGAGACCAGAGGACGTCCGTTGATTTTGGTGTGGGAGCGCCCCGCTTTCCAGACCAAAACCATCGAGACCCAAGAAACCCTGCGCCGCTGGAGGCAGGCCAGGGTGTCTCTTGGCATGGGTTCCCACTGTACACTTCTGGGCGAGTCCTCCTTGTCTACTGCGGAGATGACCGCTTCGGGCGCGTCGACCACCTCCAGCCTCTCCGTCGCGACAACCACGGCCGCCAGGCCCAGCGACTCGCGGGCCTCTCTTCGCCGCTGGGACGAAGGGGGGCGAGGCAGCCAGCCGCCCCGCGCGCCCCCCAAAGGTGTGGGAGAACAACGCATCCTTCGACGCTCCTCCGCTGCAACTGGACCCCGCTGCCCCCCGCCCGACCGTGAGGGAGCGAAAAGGAGCCACCAGCTAGGCCACCCCCAACTCCGCACCACGCGCCGCGCGAGGCGAGACTGCCTCGGCCCACTCGCGCCCTCCCCACGGGGAAAAGGGCGGCTCGCCAGCCCCATAAGGGGTGGCCCTGGCCGCGGGGCGCGTGCTCAACCTCGTCCAGCCTCTTGGCGGAGGGTGGCCAGCGAGCCGCGGCAGCTCAGAGTGGGGCGGGCGGGTGCGGCTGGAGGTCGCTGCCATGCGCGCCGTGCAGAGGCAGGGCCGGGAGGTGAGGGTCCAACGGGGGAGGGAGCGGCAGAGCAAAGAGCGGGCAGCCGTCGCATGACCCCTGCGTGGGCCGAAGGCGGCAGAAGGCGGCGCAGGCAGCTAGCGAGCAGCTGGTGGGAGATCCGCTCGCCTGTTCCCACGGCAGCGAGCACAGCTCGCGCAGGCCACGGCGCCGTCCCCGACCGCCATCCAAGTCCCCCTCTTTCCCCCTGCCCTGTCGCCCCCCCCCCCCCTTGTGCCTGCGCGTGCGGAACAAACAGGCGGCAGCAGCAGGGCTGAAGAGAGAGGCGCCGCAACAGAAGCCGTCCACTGGTCGGAAGCCAAACTGGGACCAGGTCGCATAACTTCGCGCGTTGCGCCCCGCGATGCGCGACGCGCGGTGATCTTCGCGCCCTCGCGCCGTCCCCCTGCAGATGGGCAGCTCCCAGCCTATGCGACGATGCGACAGGCGCGACGATCTTCGCCACCCCCACGGGCGACCTAGCCAAAGTACCAGACTGGGTGCGCAGTCACTGTCGGCATACGTTTCAAAAGACTACTGTTCGATGCAGCTGATTCGAAGGTGTACAGCCAATTTCTGCTTGATTGTCTTGGTGCATCTTGCGAGTGTATCGAAGCACTGCAATTTGGACCAGCTACGTGACCGCAACGCTGGCGCATCGAATGTCACAGTTGAATAACCCAGACTGCTACTCTGTGGAGGTAAGAACAACGCCTTTCGACGAGCGCAGACGTGAAGACCATAATGGCAAGGGGCTTCTGCGAAAGCCAAAGACAAAGCAGAGGAGCAAGAAGCGTAAAAACGGCGACAGGGCCATCACAACACTGTTTTCCTTTGGCGCTCCTCGTGCGCCCGCGGCACTGCTACGGCCCCAGAAGCAAGAGCAGCCACGGTAAGGCAAACATCTGTCCAAATAGGTGTAAGTTTCACCTGTCAGCTATCACAAAAGAGGGAGAAGGCGGAAGCCGAGACGAAGGCGGTAAGGAGTGGGAGAGGAGGAGAGGGAGGGGCAGGTCGAGCACCCCGAGGAACTTCGAGCGCTTGTTGGCCGTTCCTCGGTTCTGCAACCTTTCGGCAGGGCGCCGTCCTACCCGACATGGGCAAGACGCATGGAGATGGGGGAGGCGAAGGGGAAGGGAGGGGGAGGAGCCAAGCTAGGTGCGCAAACGTCTTATCTGACGTCCTACCTCTCCCTCCCACCTCTTACCATGGCGAATTTCTCTTCTCTATTCGAAAAGTCGGATGTCGAGCAGGGCAACGACCCCCAGAGGGTACGAGATGCATGGTAGCGTACGGAAATGAAGACAGCACTACAGCGGGAGCACGACCACGATCGAGCGGAACCTCGAAATGAGGACAGCGTTGCAGCGGGAGCACGATTTGGATCGAGCGGAGGCCCCAAAATGCCATGGCACGGCGCTGGAAATGAGGCCAGCACGGCAGCGGGAGCACGATTCGGAACGAGCGGAAGCGCGGAAATGAGGCCAGCGCTGCAGCGGGAGCAACATTTTGGAAGAATCGAAAACGTCCGGATTGGAGGAACACCTACAAAAAATCCAACTCGCAGGCATCCGATGCGTAAAAAACAATACGCGGAGGGGGGCGCGCTCCCTCATAGGGGTCGGTCTTCGGGGGGAGAAAATACTAGCATTCATACCAAATAATTATGGATGGAAGGGCATGTCGACGGCCATTATGGGCACGGCCGCCCAATGCGCGGAGGGCAGTCGGGCCTCTCAGGCTGTCGACACGCCGCTGCCCCCCTGCGGCGCCACCGCGGTCTGCGCCAGTGCGGCCTGCGCCCCTCCAGCGCCCAGCGTCGCCAGAAGGCCCCTGGTGGTGTCGCCGAACCTGTAGCCCGCGCCTCCGCCGGCACCGCGGGCCTCCTTGCCCTTGGCAACGAGGCCACGGGTGTAGTCGCCGAACCTGTATCCATCCGACGCCCCTGTGCCGCGGGCCTCCCTGCCCCTACCCGGCACCTCCGCGAAGGCTGCGCCAATCGCCTGCACCCGCTGGGCCCCGGCCGCCGCCCTCGCACGGACGCGGCGCTGCTCGTCGACCATCCACGCCCTGCCGGCCGCGCTGCCGATCGTGGCTGTCGCCGCCTGGCCGACGCCCCGAGCGCGGTCGCCGAGGTCGTCCGGCCGCGTGGCGGCGTAGCCCAGGCCCGCGGCGCCTGCCACGGCGCCAGTGATGGGCGCCCCTCGGAACAGCCCTAGCGTGATGGCCCCACCCAGGGCGCCGACGGCCGTCGCCGCCGCCATGGTTGCGGGCTCGAGGGCACCGACCCCCGTCCTCGCCGCACCGCCGCCGACACGGGCCGCGGCCGCCCGCATGCGCAGCTGCACCTGGTGCACGTGCTGCTCCACGGGCACCGCTGGCGCGTCGCCCGGGCCGAGCCCGCGCAGATAGCCAGCATGCGCCTCGAGTTCCCGCGCGTGCTGCACCAGCGCGGGGACGTCGCCCAGGTGGGACGCCTGCGCAAGCTCGATCGCTTCGGCGAGCAGCTTCCTCGAGGAGTCGTACAGTGGCGCGGCGGCGGCGTCGCCGCCTCCCCCTCGGCCTGCGCGGCCTGCAGCACCTTGGCCACACAAGGGTCCGCCATGCTTGCCCTCGGACGGCCAGGGGAGGACGGCGCACGCGGTTGCGGTGTGGGCCCAGGTGAGGAGGCACCGACGGCTCGGAGCAGTCAGCGGACTTGAGAGAGGCGACCATGACATAGCCACCAGGGTAACACGCTTGTCTGGCTTCACGAGAAGCCACCGCCGAATATGCTTTCAACTGTCCAGAATTTCGAAGCAACGCACACACAAACCTACAGAAGGCGGGCGATACGCACCAATAATGCATGCTTGCCAGCGTGGAAACGAAACAGCGAATCCGTGGACACTGGATGTGAATAGATGCAGTATAATGTGTGGGATGCGACCCGCGATCCGCAAGATATGTGACGCATGCCAGTGGGGTGCAAGCTGTGCGGTGCAAGCTGTGCAGTGCAAGCTATATGGCGCAATGAATATGGTACCAGCTATGTGATGCACGGTATGTGCTGCTTAACACGTTGGTCAACATATGTTGTGAAACATGTGTGGTGCAATACATGGGTTGCAAGTTACGTGGTGAAGTATATGCGGTGTACGCTGTGTGGTGCAATGAAGAGACAACCGATGAATCTCTTCACCCCTCGCAATGGGACCCGCAAAACACCCCACGTGGCCGACCAACCTGCAGGGTAGCCACAAAACTGTGAGGAGCACGCACCACCGTCAGGTGATCACTCATATGTGAAGCTCCTAGCCCACTCCATCTGACTTCTGCAGTGCATATTGGAACGAACGCAGAAAGAAGCAAATCGAAAGCAGCCAAATACGACAGGAGAAATCCCCGAAATCCTCCAGCCCCTGCTTCTTCTTACGCCCCTCTCACCCTCCCCCTCTTGCTGCCAACCACATCTCACTCCTCATCTCCCACTCCTTCTCACGTTTCTCTTCCCACTCTCCCCTTTTTCAAAGCACCCCTCTCCATTCCACCCAATTCACCTAGAAATATTCTGTGATTTTGATCCTGCTGGACTAAGCAGTATAAATCGGCTTGCTGGTCAGATCTTCTTCAAACGTCAGGTCAGCCTCTCATGATGTGCAGCCAATGTGCGTATGTTGAACCTGAGCCTTCGAACCAAGGCTGGGCTTCCAGGAGGCTGCCGAAGAAGCGCAGTAGGCCAGAACGAGTGTGAGGCTTCTGCATTGGGCGTGGGTGCATCTCCCCTCCACGTCTTCTCCTCCCGCCCATTTTAACCCGTGTAGCTGGGGCGCCTGAGTGGCAGCAGAAGTCCGCGGCGCACCCCCACCAAAGTAGATAGATGGCTTCCACCTGCAGCAGCAAGGGGGATACGCTTTCACCAGAATACCGCTCAACTTCCTCTTCGACGTGAGGAATCAGGACAACCAGGCACGCCAGGAAGGTCACACCAGCAACCGCCAGAAGAGAATGAGCAGATGGATGAAGGAGAAAGATCCGGGAAAACAGCGAACGGCAAGGGCAGTCAAGGAAGAGGGCGAGGAATGAAGGGAGGACAGCGAGAGCAGGGAAGACAGCGAACGTCAAGGAATGAGGATAGGAATGAGAGCAGCAGATGGGAGAGGCTTGGGCGAGACTGATGGCAGCACGGCAACAACCCTGACAAGCGCCACGGAGTGGCATCTTCAGCATCTCTCTCTCTCTCTCTCTGGCTTCAAGCCTGATCGTGCACTCGTTGTTCCCTTGGCCTCCGTTCCCAAAAGGCGTTCCACCCTCAGGCTCCAGCAAGTGCCATACGGCTGCAACCGCGCCTCCTGGAAACATGGCCTTATCGATCACGTTCGGGCTTCCTCCCGGCAGAGAGACCTTCGGCTGCCCTTGCGCGTGTCCCACAAGCCATGCGTGTGGCTCCGCGTCTACCTGGCCTCTCCTTGGGCCAAGCACGCGGAGAGACATTAGCGGCATGCTCTCCGCATC